GAGGAGGAGGAGGAGGAGGAGGAGGAGGAGGAGGAGGAGGAGGAGGAGGAGGGGGGAGGAGGAGGAGGAGGAGGAGGAGGAGGGGGGAGATTCGGGTACGAGGTTCGAGCGTCGCTTTTTATTCCAGACGCTCCGCGTTCACCGCCCGCCCGATTCTGTTCTTGCCGGGCGAGGCGAAGACGGCTCCAAGACGGGGTAATCATGTGCAGCAACTCATACAGACCCCCCGCAGGCGTGTTCTGTTGTTTTTGCCTGCGCTCAATTGTTTCTCCAACCCATCGCCTATTAGGCTCAGGCGTGCCGCGTTGCTGATCGATGGTATATTCGTCGTTCGGGCGTCGACCCGTCATCATTACCGACGGATCAGTGATGTGGACGTTGGCTCTTGGCCGCTATCCACACCAGGAGGCCAGAAATAGATCGAACACTGCCCATGATCAACCGACAACGACCCGAGCGCTGCCTATATGGCGCCAGCACAGGCCGAAGAGGGCCCCGGAAGAGCCCCAAAAGAGTCTAAGAAGGGCCCGAGGCAGCCCGGGGGAGCTTCCAGACGGACCAAGCGCGCACATCCGTGTTGGGCCGCGGCACCGTCCGTCTTGCAGGAAACACCGGGCTGGTTCTGGGCTGGTTTGGGGTTCGTTTCGGGGCCCAAGCTGGGGCCCCGAATCTTCCAAGCAGGACCCCGGAGCGCGCCCGCAAATGGCGTCCAAATTTAGATGATGACAACTACGCCAGACGAGCCCGAAAGTCAGCTGTAAGAAGCGGTGGTCGAGCGTCGCTTTTTATGAAGCAGGCTTACGCCATTCCGCCGACCCCCAAAGGAAGCGCGGAGAGCACGGTGGAGGCGTGGTGGGCTTCTTGGGCACTCTGTGGGGATTCTCGTGGGCGTTTCTGGAGCTGTTTGGGGACCTGGCGGAGCCTCTGGAAGGCAGTCTTGAAGCGTGTCGGGCGCCGCCCTGGAGTCTCCTCTGGGCCTCTTGGGGGCCTCTTGAGGCTTATCCCCCCGGCCCTTTGCCATGTTCGGCCCCTGCTTTCCGTCGGCAGCGTCGCGCGCCCGCCGTCTTCCTTCCCGCCTCCCCCGTTCTCCCCCTCCTCTCGTTCTCTGCTTTTCCGAGGCCACCTGTGTTGAGGGACCTTTGTATTCTATCCGCCGCGCGACGTCCCGTCGTCGTGCCTCCTCCCAGCCTTCCCCCCCCTCCCCCCATCCCCCCTTTCCCGTCATCCTCCGCCCTCCCCTCCCCAGCCCTCCTGTGTTGATGGATCTTTGTTTTCTATCCTCCCCCCTCCCCCTTCGTCTTCCCACTCGTTGCCGTCGCACAGTTCGACAGATCATTCACACGTTCCGATCCCCATAAGGGGCTCCACCTACAGCCCCTGGGAGTGCGACCGCATGGCGACTTCCCGCCCGTTTCGGCACACCGTTCACTCGTTTCGTGGCCCTAGGCCCTCGGGAGCTCCAAATACCCAGACAACCGACGTCTTGTTTTTTGTTTACAACCAGTCTCTCCCGAGGTCTGGATCTTTTCCTGGGGAACGGATCTTCATCCCGAGTAATTTCTGCCAGGTGCTGGCATGGGCTCCCAGGGGCCGAACAGCGACGAAACCCGCCCGTCGCGACTCCTTCACGACGCGAGGATGTCAGGGTAGGGAGCTCCACCAGCGGCCCCAGCGGGCGCGTCCGCATCCTTGTGGAATTTGTGCTTCCTTGCTTCTTGCCCCTTCCCGTGCTGTCCTGCCTCCTGTGATGGTGTTGCCGGCGCGTGCGCTCCCTGTTGTGCTTCCCTTCCTTCTCACTGCTCGGTGTGTGGCGCGCGCACGTCCAAGTAGGCTTAGGCCGGGCATGTCCTCCTACAGGTGGATCTTGGAGGAAAATGTAACATAGTCAAAACATGTCCCCGAATAGTCAAACATTGTAGAAAAATCGTCCCCAGACTATTTTTTGACTATTTCTGAATGTTCCTCCTGTAGAGAGACATGCCCGACCTAGAAGTAGGGCATGGCGTCACCCCGCCCATTCCCGCGCACCCCTCGCATGTTTCTTGGCCCCCGAAGGTCTGGCAGAGCGGACGTGCGGAGCTGGAGAAGGCCACCAGCCTCAGGCTCTGGAAGGAGGCCGACAAGCAGCGCGTGGAGGCCATTCGGGGAGATCTCGAGGAGGGGGAGATCAATGGGACCCTCGAGGAGGCGGAGATCCTGAGCCTTCTGGACATCAGCAAGAACACCCTGTCCGAGCTCGTGGACGAGGTAGATCGCATTTCCAAGCACGACCCTGGCGCCAACGTTGTGTACCAGGACCATATCGAGACCATCCGCTACAGGGCCTCGACCGCGTCCGCCCACTTGGTCGAGGGCATCCGGCACAAGACCGAGGTCGCAAACCCTACGTTGTACCACCACCTGCCTTGGTCAAGCCCATCTTGGGCCCTTGCTCGGCTGGGGTATAGGCTTTCCTGGCCTCGGCCAGGAAGGTCCATACACCAGACGAGGCCTTGGAGTGGGCGCGGCCAGGGCAGGCGGTAGTGTTCCGGGCTTCCGAAGAGGTGTTTGCGAACGCCAGCGCCCAGTACAGTGAACCGCAGGTGTTCAAGCAGCTGCTTTCCCTGATAGCGAAGTTCTTCAACGACACGAAGACCGAGGTGAGGATGCTGCAGACGACCAGCGAGAGCATCGAGAAAAACATTCAGGGCTGGGATGCCAAAAACCCCGAGAAGCTCTCCGGGACTCTGGCCACGGCCCTCAACGGAGTGACGGGCAGCGTGGAGTTCAAGCACAGGCTCCTCGCCCTTGATTCCGACCAAATGGCGCACCTTAACAGCACCGCGGAGGCGTGCGAGATGCTCGACAACATGCTCACAACTACTCTGCAGCCCGCCTTCAACAGCCTGGTGCACATGAAGGATACCCTGGACCGCATGGCCAAAGTGGTGCCCAGCATCCTGAAGCCCCTTGCATACGACGCCTCCGGCCTGATGGAACGACCCACGACTCTTCTTGTCAACATGGCCTACGTGCAGCACGTTGCGCTCACAGAGTCCGCCACCATCGTGCTGACCCAGGCTCGAAAACTGGAAACTGCCTTGGTCGGGCTTTCCTCTGGTCTGAAGTCGGGCCTGTCCCTCTACAGGGGGAATATTCAAAAATAGTCAAAAAATTGTAAGGGGACGATCGTTTGAGTATTTTTTGGTAGTTTCTGAATATTTTTGGGAGTACTTTTTATTTTTCGTCCGAAATCTGCCTGTAGGGGGACATGCCCGACCTAACTCTGGTGCTCGGGGCAGATGTTCGGCACGAGCACTCGCTCTCGGTGGGCCGCGCGACTTTCTCGGGACGGCGCCGCCCGCACGCCTTGGCCTGACCGGGGCTGGTGGTGGTGTGCTGTCTCCAGGCTTAAGTCGGGCCTGTCCCTGGGTTACAAGAGGAAAAAAGCAAACAATAGTCCAAACATAGTCAGGGGACGTTTTTTTTTCTAAAAAACTATTTTTGATTATTTTGGGAGCATGTTTTGCATTTGTTTGATTTTTCCTCCAACATCCGCCTGTAAGGGGACAGGCCCGACCTAAACTTTGTAAGCATAGGAATCGTTCCAGAGTGTTGCGGAACGGCCTCGCACGTGCCAGAACGCTGCGGTACGGCCGCGGCGTCCTGGTGCGTCCTACAGGCCACGCAGCTTCCAGATGTTCCCGATTAATCTCGTCCTGATCTTGTCTTCGTCCTTCCGTCGTCTTAGTGCAGTCTCTGGTATACGTGTCTCGAGCGCCTCGGCGTCGCGACTCTTTCACGGCGTGGACCCTTGTGTCGTCGTGTTTATGTCGAGGAACAAGAAACACACATAAACATACTTTTCCGACGTTCCGCGCGGATTTCTTGGATCTGCGCTGGAACACCCTGGCGGCGCTTCCGGCGCCGCCGCTGGCGAGCTCCGCGCGCCAGGGAGGGGGACCCAGCGCGGATCCAAGAAATCCGCGCGGAGCGTCGAAAGCTTATGCCCATGGCGCTTCTTCTTCTTCTTCGACTGACGGCCCTCGGGCTCGGAGCGCTTGCGAGCGCTTTGCAGCGCCGAGGAGCGCCTGGGAACGCTCGGGAGCGCCTGGGAGCGCCTGGCAGCGCCTGACAGCGCCTGGGAACGCCTAGGAGCGCTTGGGAGCGCTTGGGAGCGCTTGTGAGCCCCTGGGGAGCCTGGGGGGGCCCCCCGCAGGCCGAAAACCGCGCAGAAGCCTTCCGTCGTCATTGAGGGGCCTGTCTTCCACCACCACCACCCGCAAGTTGGAGGGGGATGGGGGGCCTCCTCCTCCTCCTCCTCCTCCTCCTCCTCCTCCTCCTCCTCCTTCCCCCCTCCAGCTTGTGGTGGTGGTGGTGGTGGAAAACAAGCCCATCAGTCATTCCTTCGCAACGCGAGCGGGGGGCGGCTTTCGGGCCACGTAGCCTGGGCCTCCCGCGGCGGGCCGGGCCGGGGCGATCCGGGCACCCGGGGGAGCGCTTTCGGCGAGGTGCAGCTGTTGGCAAGCACCCCGAGGCGAGAGGACCTCCAGGAGGAGGAGAGGGGGGGGAGGAGGAGGAGAGGAGGAGGAGGAGGAGGAGGAGGAGGAGGAGGAGGAGGAGAGTGGAGGAGGGAGGAGAGGGGGAGAGGAGGAGAGGAGGAGGAGGAGGAGAGGAGGGGAGGAGAGGAGGAGGGGAGGAGGAGGAGGAGGAGGAGGAGGAGGGAAGGACGGGAGGCGGAGGCAACTTCCGAAGGATGAGCTCGCGGGTCCATCCGCTGACGTGACTTCTGTTTCATCCGCGGCCCCAGGGCTCCCGATGCCTTTCCCCTGGGGTCAGCTTTTCGTCCCAGATTTGAGTCGGGCATGTCCTCCCACAGGAGGAGTGCATTTTCCAAAGCAGTCGACATATAGTCTGGGGACGAGTTGTTCATTATCTTCTGTGCCATGTTTGCGCATGCTTTGCTATTTTGCACAATTTGTCTCCCAATATCTGCCTGTAGGAGGAGGAGGAGGAAGAGGAGGAGGAGGAGGAGGAGGAGGAGGAGGCGGAGGAGGAGGAGGAGGATAGGGGAGGAGGAGGGTGAGGAGGAGAGAGGAGGAAGGAGGAGGGAGGAGGAGGACCTGCCCGACCTGATCCCAGATCCGTTCTGGACGGCACCGCGGGGCCCGACCGCGGGCCCTAGAGGCCGAGCTCGAGGAGCAGCCGCGGGATCTTGAGGGGCAGCTCTCGACCCGTGCGCGGAGAGATCGGGGCCACTCTGCCGGGGGCGGCAGAGGGGGGGGTGATGATCCGGAGGATGAGGAGGAGGAGGAGGAGGAGGAGGAGGAGGAGGAGGAGGAGGAGGAGAAGGAGCAGGAGGAGGAGGAGGAGGAGGAGGAGAGGAGGGGGAGGAGAGGAAGAGGAAGAGGAGCATGGGGAGGAGCAGGAGGAGGAGGAGGAGGAGGAGGCGGAGGAGGAGGAGGAGGAGGCTGAGGCGGAGGAGGAGGATCAGGATCAGGAGGAGGTTGAGGAAGAGGAGGAGGAGGAGAGGAGGAGGAGGAGGAGGAGGAGGAGGAGGAGGAGGCAGGAGGAGGAGGAGGAGAAGGAGGAGGAGGAGGATGAGGATGAGGAGGAGGCTCAGGAGGAAGAGGAGGAGGAGGAGAAGGAGGAGAAGGAGGAGGAGCAGGAGGAGGGGCGGCAGAGAGGGGGGTGATGACTAGAGGGGTGTGGATATCGTGGCGGGGGGCCATGAGGTGTCCTCAGGTTTCGTGGCGCCTCTTCTGACTTCAACGCGCCCCCGGCCCCCCCGCAGCTCTCGGTCCATGCGCTGAGAGAGGGGCCACTCTGCCGGCGGCGGCAGAGAGGGTGGTGATGACCCTTGGGGTGTGGATATCGGGGCGGGGGCCATGAGATCTCCCCAGATTTCATGGCGACTCTTCTTGCGTACTCCAACGCGCCCCCGGGCCCCCCCCCGTGAGCCGCGCCCCTCCCCCCCCCTTGGACGCCCCCCTCTTGGACGCCCCCCTCCCCCCTCCCCCCTCCCCCCTCCCATGAGCTGCGCCCCCCTCCCCCCTCCGATGAGCTGCGCCCCTCTTGGACGCCCCCCTCTTGGACGCCCCCGACCTTGGGCTCGGGAGGGGCTCTGGCTTTCGGGCCGCTCTGCAGACATGGGTTTACGTCCGGCATGCCTCTCTCTGCAGGAGGACTTGCCAAACGTTGTCAAAACGAATTGTCAGGGGACGATGTTTATGGCATGTTTTGATTCTTTTTATTTGTCTTTGAAGATCCGCCTGTAGGAGGACATGCCCGACCTAAGTCTAGGTCGGGGAACCCCTTCGTGGCCGAGGCCTGCCGTGCTTGGGACAAGCAACAAAAACCCTTCGCTCCTGATCCAGAGCTCCTTTTTGATTCGCGAATGGACCGTCTTCGGTTCGCGAGAGGGCGTCGCGGCTGTCGTTTTTGCGGGTCCAGGTCCGTCGGTTTCGGTCCTAGGCCGTTTTCACCAAAGGCAGGTTTGCTGAAGGGAGGTTTGTCCACCGCTGATTTTGGTAGCGCGACGACCGTACCGCCCAGCAGCAAACCATGGGTGCCTCGTGTGGCCTCGACACGCTGTCTTTGGGGTGCACCAGCGCTCGCCAGCGTCTGCCAACCGATGAGGAAGCGTCGATGCAGCGTCGATTTAGCGTGAAGTCGGGCACGTCCGTCCACAGGAGGAATATTCCCAAATAGTCAAAACATAGTCTGGGGACGTTGAGGATTTTTTGATTATTGCTGAGTGTTTTGTTGGGTATTTGTGGGTACTATGTTGAGTATGTGTTTGGAGCATCATTGGATTATTGTTGTTTTTCCTCCAAGCTCCGCATGTAGGGGGACACGACACGTCCGAGTTTCGCTCCGATTTCGCGTCGACCCAGCGTCGAGATCCAGCGTCGATTCGGCGTCGACGTGCCGCTTGTTCATATCTTTATTATTTTCGCTCTTTTCGGCCTCGGGGGGACCTCGCCGGGTCTCGGGACCGTCAAAAAACGACTCAGGAGGAAAAACCGGTCCCATGGAAAGGGTCAGGACTTCCAGGGACGCCGTCCTGAAAAATCAGGACGTCGCATGTCTGGCCCTGAGTCTTTCTGGACGCTCCCGAGGCCTGGCGAGGGCCCCCAGAGGCCGAAACCGCCAGAATCTCGCCGCTCAATTTTTTGGGGGAGCTTTGGATCTGTGGGGTTTGGGTGCGTGAGGGGATCAATTCATAATCTCTGAGGTTCGGCGGCTCCTGAGAATGTCTCGGGCGCCACGGCCTTCTAAGAGCGTTCCGGAACGCTCTGAGAGCGTTCCAGAACGCTCTGGAACGGACCCAGACAAGGGACGTCCTGATTTTTTCAGGACAGCGTCCCTGGAAGTCCCAATCCTTTCCCTGGGACCAGTTCTTCATCCTGAGTTGTTTTTTGACGGTCCCGAGGCCCGGCGAGGGCCACCCGAGGCTGAAAATGGCCAAAAACCTCCCGCCCACTTTTTTTTCGCGCCGCGATCATGTCTGGGGATTGATCCTCGTCGAAAATTGCCAGACTCCCGCCGCTCCCGCTGTTTTCTTTGGGGCGTCGGATTTCTGGGGGAGCCTCGTCGGAGGCCTGGGCCTGTGGACGACGATCGATTGGGAGGATGCATGTTGCCAAAGAGTTTCCGGATGTTTCATACACGTCGCAGACACGTAAAAAGCATTCGCTTGGCATCGCTCGGACGTGTGCATTTTTCCTTCGGCGAGGGCCATCGAGGAGCATCCTTGATCATTTGGCGAAAAAGCCACGCACGAAACCGAAAAAAGCACAGGGAATGGACATCCGAGCGATGGCCAGTTCGGGCATAGCCAGGACCCCAGGTAAGGGGAACCGGGTGGGGCCCCAGAGCCCCTGAATTGGCCAGAGTCACTAAACCAGGTCTGCCGTAGCTGCTGTTTTTCTCGGGTGACGGCAGTTCTGGTGAGTGGAACGGGATGGGGGGGGGGCGTCCCCCAGTACACGTCACCAAACCAGGTCCACCTAAACCCAGTTTTGGCAACGCCCGAAACATGTTCGAACCATTGTCAGAACATTGCTCTGACATGTTCAAGCACATTTTTGGCTTTGCCTCCTCCCGGCCTCGTTCTGTGGCTGCGCCCCCTTTTCCTCCCCCATCTCCGGTTAATTCAAGCTTCGCGCGGCCCGCTTAGCTTCGACCGGAAGAGGTGCGCTCTCGACCCGCGAATCAAGAATGTTCAAGCACATTTTTGACTCAACGACGGGACTGTCAATCGCCACGGCATCCACGAAACACTTTTTTGGAGCGCCGGGCCGCTGGGGGAGCATCGTCGGAGGCCTGGGCCGCCCGCGCCGGTCGGGTGGACCCCAGAGGTGGTCCAGCGACAAGGGGGTGGTGCAGTACATTTGGTGCAATAGATTTGTGGGGTTGCAGTGCCTTTGGGGCGTGCAATCCATCCCGGAGCGCAGCCATTTTACCGAATTTTTGCGTGCACTGCACGTGTCGCAAAACAATGCAATACAGTTCTCCGGCGCAGTACATTTGCAACAAAACTACCCCGAGTCTGTTGCACCACCCCCTTTCAGCTGGGCCCCAATTTTGGGCCGCCCACGCCAGGAGGGGGCCACATGCGAACCCTACCACTGCCCCCCACGATTTCTGAGGGGGAGTGTGGGGTAGGGCTCGCATGCGGTCCCCACGCCAGGCGGCGCCCGCCATCCTGTCGCGGCTCCACTGCGCCATCGACAGCGCCGGCGCCCGCGCCTCCCTCGGCCTCGCGGCGTGGCTCGCCCTCGCGGCGTGGCTCGCCCTCTGAGGCGGGGAGAGAGGCCGCCGGGCGCCGGGCGCCGGCAGCCCCCCTCGGCAGCGAGCGATCTGCACGAACGAAACGGGCACGGAAAGGATGGATGCAATGCCCAACAGCGGATCCTGCTCATTTTGACCAGGACTCGCTGTCCACGCCGCCGCGGCCTGTGTCCATTCGAGGCAGGAGGCCGCCTGCCCAACAGCGGCCGCTGCTGGTTTGGGACAATATTTATTGTTGGGCATCGTGCCCATTTTTCCCGTGCCCATTTCGGGCGTCCAAAGCACGAGGGGGGGGGGCAGCGAGAACAGGGGAACGAAGAATGACATAAACGTCAAGTCGGGCCTGTCCCTCTACAGGGGGGATGCTCAAAAACAGTCCAAAAATAGTATGGGGAGGATTTTTTTACTATTTCTGAGCATGTTTGGAGTATCTGTAAGTTTTCGCCCAAAATCCGCCTGTAGGGGGACAGGCCGGACCCAACATAAACATCAAGATGCGGAGGTCCGCGCGGGTTTCTCGCATCGGCGCTGGACCCCCCTCCCAAGCGCGCGGAGCGCGCCAGGGGCCGCACCGGAGGCGCCGCTGGGGGGCTCCAACGCCGATGCGAGAAATCCGCGCGGACCTCCGAGTTTGTATGTTCATGTCATTGTTCGTTTCCTAGAGAGGAGGCCTTCTCGGAAGGCGGCGGGACTTCTCAGAAGCCCTCGCGCCCTCTGGGAGGCCTTCGGTGTCTTCGGGGAGGGCTTAGGAGAATTCTCAGGGGGCCAGGGGACTTCCGAGCCTTCTGAGAAGGCCCGCCCCTTCTCACTTGCCCCCCCGGCCCGCCGCCAGCTATAGCCTCCCAGGTGCGGTCCGAGTAGCTGGGGTCGGAGGATCGCGCCGCATCGCCGATGCATCGCCGACGCGGCTCGATGTGGAGCCCGATTTTCTCTCCACGCTGTCGGCGCCGATGCACCGTCGACGTCACCGGCATCGCCGAGGCGTCGCGATCTTTCGACCCCATCCACTCGGACCTCGTCTAGAGGAGGAGGAGGAGAAGGAGGAGGAGGAGGAGGAGGAGGAGGAGGAGGAGGAGGAGGGGGAGGAGGAGGAGGAGGAGGGGGAGGAGGAGGAGGAGGAGGAGGAGGAGGAGGAGGAGGAGGAGGAGGAGGGACAGGGGATACAAACCTCTGGGGGGCCACGTGATGAGCAAAAGCTCGCACGACGTCGGATGTCCGGGAAGGCGGAGCTGCGAGCTACCAGCTTGAAGCAGATCCCTCTCCCTACGTTTGGCACCGCCTTCCCTCGATGCCGATCTCAAGGATCCCCTCGGCTTGTGGGGGCACACCCCTGAGATTGCCATCGCCTTGCGCTTGCCGATCTCAGGGGTGGGGACCCAGAGATGCAACGTCCTGATCTTTTCAGGACGGCATCCCCAGAAGTCCCGACCATTTCCCCGGGACCGATTTTCCATCCCGAGTCGTGTTTTGACGGTCCCGAGGCCTGGCGAGGCCCCGAGGCCGAACATGGCCAAAAACCTCCCGTCCTGACTTTCTTCACGCCGCGATCACGTCTGGGGATCCGTCCGAGGCTGCTCAGCGAGCGGCCCTGCCAGACCAGCCGTGGCTGGCTGTGGCTGTGCACCTCCCCCTCCCCGGGGGGATCCACCAGCTTTGGGCACTTCCCCCCCTCTGCGAGGGGGCGACGGCACGGTGGGCTCCCCCCCCCCAGGGGGGTTGGCCAGCCACGGCTGCTGCCAGGAGGAGCCCCACGAGAGGGAGCGAAGGGGCTTCTCCATGGCATTGCTCGGACATGCGTGCTTCTCCCCCGGCGGGGACCATCGAGGAGCATCTTCCAGGCGATCGCGAACGTGGATCACGGGGGCGTGGATCAGCGACGGTCCTCGTTTCCATGGGGAGTCGCAGAATTCCGCCGCCGAACGAGGCGGCACGGGCCGCAGTTTGGGGAGGGCACCTCCCCCGATCCATGGATTTGGCGACCGCGCGCCAGACCCAAGGATCGCTACTCCATGTTTGCGCGCCCCCGAATCTTGGGTCGCCCTGCGGAACGTACGCGCGCGACGTCGAAGCATGCGCGGGGAATGGGCGTCCGAGCACTGGCGAGCTCCTGGCCACGGCGAGCCTCGGCCAGCTTCCCGACCCAGATCCCAGACCTCTGGAGCGGCCCGACAGCTGGGGCCCCTCCGGAGCCCCACCTGGTCCTCATGCCAGCGTCCTGGCTGCCAGGAGCAGGGCCCCCCCGGCAGTGGCTGGCCGGCGCCCGACGCACCTCCTGCCAGAGCGGAGCCGCGAGTCCTCACCATTTGCGCGAGTCCAGAAGAGGAACAGATACGGTGCCGTGGTGCCGCTGCCCTTGCCTCCTCGGCGACCACTGGATTCGCATCGGGATTCTGGTCAGAACGAATCCCTGGAGAGGTCCGGGGAGTAGCGGTGTCTGTATCCTCTTGTCCTCCCAGAGAGGTGGGTAATGGAGAAGAGGGTGTCCTTCAGTTTTTGTTTGTAGTTTTCGGGCCTCCCGAGGCCTTTCCCAGTCCCTGGGGCCGTCCAAAACAAGGCGGGATGAGCAGCGGGTCCTGCGGGAATCTTTGGGGTCTATAGTTCGCTTCCACGCCAAGTCCTGCCCCTGTTCCCGCTCCTTCTGTTGCTCCTCCTCGTCCGCGTCGTCGTTCTGGGTGCACCAACTAACACCCACACCAACCTTGGCCAGGCCAGTCCTGGGCCTTGGACTCAGGACATAAGTACGTAATACTTTGATGTGTATGTATGTGTGTATATATGTATGCTCAATGCTCATTGATATCATGTACCTGTGAGTATTGTATTTTGTTTGCCTTCCTGGGCCTGGCCAGGACCGGTGAGGTGGATAGTTGACGTTCCTTGACGCCTGTCCCTTCGTCCGTATGCGCCCCCCCGTCCCCGTCGTTGTTGGTCGCCGTTGTCCTTCGCTCGGGCTTCCATGCGCCCTTTTCGAGGTTTGTCTTGTCTTGTTTTGTCGCGTTTCGCCTTGCCTTCCTCTTCATCATTGTCGTCTTCTTCTTCTTCTTCTGTGTCGTCTTCTTCTTCTTTCTCTTCTTCTTCTTCCTCTTCTTATTCTTCATGCCGATGATGTTGCCTACCCCGGGCGCGCACGCAAGACCTATCATCCGAGGGTCGCACCCTGCTTCGTTGTTCATCTTGCCCCCTCTGACCTCCTGCTGCCTACTGGTGTCGCCCGTCGCCCTGCCCCCCTCTTAAGTCGGGCCTGGCCCCCTACAGGAGGCAGATTCAAAAATAATCAAAAATAGTCTTGGGACGATGTTTTGATTATTCTTTGATTTTTTGAACATGTTTGGGGTATTCCCTGTAAGTTTCGTCCAGAATCCGCTTGTAGGAGGACGCGCCCGACTTAAGAGTAATACTCTCCTGTTTCCACTGCTGCAGTTGTTTGTTTCGCTAATCTGAACAATGTACGCTTCTTACACAAGATCGTCCCGTTTCGGCTTTCGATGTGGTTTCTTCCTTATCCAACTGCCTGCGGCAAGTCCCACCATTGGTGCCAGCCCAGCATTCTGAGTGGCGACTGTTCGAGGGGTCACTGGAGGCCGTCACGGGTGACACCGCGTGTCGAGAGTTATGATGAGGATGCTGAGAATGATGACGACGACAACGATAATGATGATGCTGCTGCTGCTGCTGATGATGATGATGAGGATGAGGATGATGATGATGATGATGATGATGATGATGCTGATGATGATGATGATGATGCTGATGATGATGATGATGCTGCTGCTGATGATGATGATGATGATGATGATGAGGATGATGATGATGATGATGATGATGATGATGATGAGGATGATGAGGATGATGAGGATGATGAGGACGATGAGGATGATGAGGATGATGATGATGATGATGATGATGATGATGATGATGATGATGATGATGAGGAGGAGGAGGAGGAGGAGGAGGAGAAGGAGGAGGAGGAGGAGCTGGAGGAGGAGGAGGAGGAGGAGGAGGAAGAGAAAGGAAAAGTCCGTCACATGTGGCACCTTTCTCTTCCGCTTCTTGACCAGCTCTCATGAAGCTGAATTGGGCCGGTTTGGGATTGTTTTGGCTTCCCGTGGGGCAGGTTTTGGGGTCTCTTGGGGCCGTCTTGGGGCCCTCTCGGGCAGTCTGGCCGTTTTGGAGCTCTCTTCGCCCGTCTTGACCACCTATTGGCCGTATGGGGGGCTGTCTGGTGCCGTCGTGGGGCCGTTTCTGGCCGTCGAATGGTTGTCTAAGGCCGTCTTGGGTCCCTCCAGAGGCCCTCTTGGGCCATCTTGGATGCCTCGTGGGCCATCGTGGGGCCCTCTTGGGACATCTTGGGGCACTCTTTGGGGCCTCTTGGGCCGTCTTGGGGCCATGTTGGAGGCCTCTTGGGTCGTCTTGAGCTGGCGAAAGCCCGAAAATGCGTGAATGTGAAAATCAGTTCACAACCTCAAGGAAATCAGTGATTCTGGCTTCTGCGACCTTATTGGCAGTCCTCTCGTGGCCCTCTTGGCCTTCTTGGAGGCATTTAAGGTCGTCTTGAGGCCATCTTGGTCCGCCTTGGGACCATCTTGGGCCGTTTTTGAGGCATTTTGGGCAATCTTGGTGTGACTCTTGGTTGCCTTCCTGGGCCGCCGTGGAAGCTCCGGACGCGGGACCATATTTGTTACGAGGGATGGTGGTCTCGGCGGCGCGGACCTACTTTTTTTTTTTTTTTTTTTTTTTTTTTTTTTTGTATATATGTATATATATATATATATAATATATATATATATATATATATATATAAAATCGTGGCCTCGGGAGACGAGGGCGATGCACGCAGCAGTCCGCGACCAGAGAGGGGTGGCCCTTTCTTTCCCTGCCAGACAGCACTCTGCCTCCTACCAGACCTGGAGAGCCATCGCGCCAACACGAGGACCGCTGGAAGAGGAAGCGAGAGGGCGTTCCTGGCCACGGCGAGCCGCGGCCACGAAGATGCTCCCTGGCCTGGACCTGGGGAGCGGCCTGGAGACCAGAGCCTCCTCCTCCTCCTCCTCCTCCTCCTCCTCCCTCCTGAGCCCGAAGCGGTCCTTACTCCAGCGCTTTTCGTTACATTCGCCGCACCTGCGGGCCTCGCCTGCACCTCGCCCCGTAGGCCACGACAGCGCGCGGGCACCTTCGCCTCCTCGCTGGCCGCGCGGATTTCCTGGAGCTGCGCTGGGCCCCCCCCCGCGGCGCTTCCGGCGCCGCCCCTGGCGCGCTCCGCGCGCCAGGGAGGGGGGTCCGCCGCGGATCCAAGAAATCTGCGCGGAGCGCCAAAACTTTATGTTTCAACCAATGACTGACGACGAGGTTTCTGTCAGCATGGCTCGGTGCGATCGCATGAACGTCGTCTGGGGCTTGCCACCGGCCAGCGCTTGCTGGGCTTGCCACCCCCCCCGCCCACACCCACGTCCACGCTCACGCCCACGCCCACGCCCGCGCCCACGTCCACGTCCACGCCCACGCCCGCGTCCACGTACACGTCCACGTCCACGTCCACATCCACGCCCGCATCAAAGCCCCCCCTGCTGCCGGCCTTCCGCCCCCTCCCTTCCCTGCGGGCCGCTGGCGACGTCGGCGACGCCGACGACGTCGATGCCATCGACACCGGCGGCGGCGGCGGCGACCACGCCGACGACCTCGGACCTCGACATCGACGTCGGCCCCTTCCCAAGGCATCCGACCTCCCGCTTTTGTTTGCTGTCACCGCGCGGCCCCCCAGAGGTTTGGACCCTGTCTTCCGCCCCCCCCCCCCCAAGGACCAGCTTCTCCGCCCGAGCCGTTTCTGTCAAGGCCCCAGGGCCCAGCACAAGGCCCCCCCCCAGGGGCCGAAGATTGCCCAAACGTCCCGCCGTGATTCTTTCGCGACGCGTAGATGTCGAGGCCCCCCTCGACGTCGACGAAATCCCCGACATCGACGGCGGCGACGGCGGCGGCGACCAACGTCGGCGGCGCCCGCAGCGGGGTGTCGCGAGGGGGCTCGGCTTCTGAGACAGCGGCGGGGCGTCTAGGAAGGCAGGGGGGCCTCTTAGAACTTCCTGGGTACTTCTCAGAAGCCTTCTTAGAAGCCAGACGGAGCCTTCTAATGGCCCCTCCTGCCTTCTTAGAAGCCCCGCTCCTGTCTTCGAAAGTCGTCCCCCTCGCGCCAACCGCCAAGGCGGGGGGTCTCCGATGTCCCTGGCACCGCGCGGGCACTCCGGGTTCGAGCTCCGAGGCCCACGACTTTTGGACGCCCTGGAGGTTCGAACTTCGAGGTTCGGACTTCAAGGTTCCCGCTCTGCGGTTCGAGCTTCGTGCGCGCGCTCCCCTGTGGGCACCGCCAGCCAGCGGCGGCGGCCCACGGCGAGCGCCGCGGGAGGACGTCATGTCGAGGCGGCAGGAGCTCGGCGCCCTCGTCAGCGCGGGGCTGGCGGCGCCACTGCCCGCGCTGAGGCCGGCCACGCGCTGGGGGGGGGCGGGTGGGAGGGGGGGGAAGGCTCCTTGGAAGCACTCCTGCTTCTCATGAGGCGCGGGCCTCGTCTGTAGCTGTCGGGCCAGCGCCTTCTGAGAAGCGGCCTCTTTCGGAGAAGCCTTCCCCCCTCCCCCTCCCCCATTTGGCAGGTGGGTCTCTCAAGCTCTCCGCCGTCACCGGCGGTGTGCGTTGCGAGCAGGAGCGCAGCAAAGCCAGAGGCGGCGGAGAGCTTGAGAGATCCACCTGCCAAATGTGCGCGCCGCCGCTGAGGGCGGCCGCGCTGGCGCTGGTCGCGGAGCTGGTGTCGAACGTGGACGACTCCGGAGGGGACGGGGGTCCTTGGCAGGTCTGCTGTGCACCGCGAGAGCAGGCCCTCAGATCTGGGTGCCCACGGTGTGGTGGCAGATGGGGCCCCGCCGGAGCCCTTTGGGCCTCCCATAGAGGCCTATTGAGCCCTTTTGGGGCGGAGCTGGTTGGGCTTTCCTTTGGAGGGCCACCTTGAGCATAGCGTTAAGTCGGGCCTGTCCCCCTACAGGGGGCAGATTCAAGAATCGTAGACGAGTCTGGGGACGATTCTTGGAGTATTTTTTCTTGGCCTATTTGGAGGTATGTCCTGGCTATGTTTCATTTTTCGCCTCAAGCCCGCCTGTAGCGGGACATGCCCGACCTGGTGCACGCTTCTAACGCCAGGCGCTTTCGCCCGGCTTCGGGCCCCGGGGCCACCACGGGCCGATCCGGCTCGAAGCATGGCGTAGAGTTAAGTCGGGCCCGTCCCTCGTCAGGGGGAATATTCAAAAATAGTACAAAAATAGTCTGGGAACGATGTTTTGAATGTGTTTTGGCCATTGTGGGGTATTTGTACGATATTTTAATTTTTTGTCCCAAATCCCCCTGTAGGGGGACAGGCCCGACTTCAGCGTAGAGAGGTGGGGTCGGACGGGGCTAGGACGAGGATCAATCCGTTCCAGATCGTTCCGGAACGCTCTCAGAGCGGTCGGGAACGCTCTGAGAAGGCCGCGGCGCCCGAGGCGTGCTCCAGAGCCGCCGGTGCTCAGAGGTTCTCGATTTATCCTTATCCGATTTTATCCTCGTCCTGGCTTCGTCTTGTGGGGCCCATGGCTCCGGTTTTTTTTTCGCGCAGGGCTCGCATTTTTCCGCAGCGTTGGATCTCATACCTTGGCGGCGCCCACAAGGGGCCCAGACATCCGGCTGCTCCAATTTGTTCGACTCGTGGGCCCCGGAGGTCCCGACCTCTTCCCCAGGGCCAGCTTTCGTCCTGAGCTGTTGTGTTGACGCTCCCGAGGCCTGGCGAGGGCCCCCGGAGGCCGAAAACTCTTAAATTCAGGAGGGGGAACAACACACAGACACAATTAATCGTCGACTCCCAGGAGAATCTGGGAAAATATGGGAAGTGGGGGGGAAGACGAAAACCCCCCAAATATGGGGAAATATTGGGAATCCTGTCATTTGTGTCTACTTCTTTGCGTGTCCCGGGGCCCCTTCATGAAATCCCGCCGCCCCAAACGTTTTCGGGAGAGTCGGATCTCTGGGCGTTGGTGGCGCGACGGCGCCCGCCCTTGGGGGAGAGCCTTGGCCGACGAGGGTTAGGCGGGGCCCGTCCGATGCCTCCGGCAGGCTCGGGCGTGAGGAGGCGTGCACGTATTTGCTAAGTCGGGCCGGTCCCTCTGCAGGGGGAATCTTCAGAACTAGTATGGGGATTATTTTCAGGAGGGGAAAAAACACACAGACACAATTAATCGTCGATTCCCTAGAAAATATTGGAAAATATGGGAAGTGGGGGGGAAGATAGAACCCCCAAAAATATAGGGAAATATGGGGCATCCTTTTATTTGTGTGTATTTATTTGTGTGTCCAAGGGCCCCTTCATATTTTTTGGGTATGTTGGGGCATCTTTTGCGTATTTTTCGCATATGTTTTAGTTTTCGTCCAAAGTCCCCCTGTATGGGGGACAGGCCCGACCTAAACGTACTGGGTGCTTCACCACCCACCAAGGCCCAGAGCTCCGACGCTCCCAGGAAATTGGAGCGGCAGGATTTTGGCAGTCACCCGGCTCCAGGAGCACTCGCCGGGCCTCGGGAGCGTGACCCAGACGACTCGGGAGGAGAAGCCGGCCCTCGGAAAGTGGTCGGGACCTCCGTGGCCCACGCGTCGGAAAAATGGGAGCAGTTGGATGATGTCTGGGTACGTACGTGACCACCCGCCAGGCCACCCCAGCCCAACCCGAAGGCCCCAATGTGCCCTCATTCCCAGAGGGGGATCGCCGGGGGACATTGGGAAACACTTCTGGGACAAGTACCCCCCCCCAACCCGATCTTTGGGTTTTCGGGTTGGGTTGGGGTGGTCTGGTAGGGAGAGTACTTGAGGGTCCCAGACACACCGACGCTACCGTTGCGATGCATCTGCGTGCCGCAGCCAATTCTTAGGCTGAGCCGTGGCGAAGGAACAGCAGATCGAACTGAGCAGTACCATCCTATCACTATCACCACTGCACCGATGAGCATCACTATGCTGATCGCGGCGGCTTTCAGCGGTGAGGAGCTACGAGTAGCTGGAAGACAAAGGTCAATAATGCGGACCTACCCCCCTCTGGACAAGTAACGCATGCCTTTTTTTCCAATTCTTGATTCCCGCCCCCTCCCCCCCGGGACCCCCGAGCTCAACGTTGAACCTGCTGCGGCCGACGGCGGAACAAATCGGATCGCGCGGCGCCCCGCGCGAAGATCCAAAGTGAGGCGTGCGAGGAGACGGACCGCCCGCTAGAGTTGCATTATTTTTCCAGGGTCGTGTAGGGGGATGCCGTGGACGACGACGACGACGAGGAGAAGTATACTACTACTACTACTACTACTACTACTACTACTACTACTGCTACTACTACTACTACTACTACTACTACTGCTACTGCTACTGCTACTGCTACTGCTACTGCTACTGCTACTACTACTACTACTACTACTACTACTACTAATACTAATACTAGTAATAATAATAATAATAATAATAATACCAATACTAGTACTACTAGTAGTAGTAATACTAATACTGCTACTACTGATAATAATAATATTAATAATAACAATAATAATACTACTAATCATAATAATAATAATATTAATAATAATAATAATCACAGTAATAATAACAAGAATAATAAAACCAATGATAATATTAATACTAAAACAATGATGTAGACTGTAGATGTGGGCGGGGGCGAGAACGTTCCTCTGTGCGAGGGCGAGGGCAACCCGCCGAGGACCTCCGAGCGTCGTTCTTCAGGAGGGAAACAATCACACAGACACAATCAATAGTCAATTCCAAGGCAAATATGGGAAAATGTGGACAAGGGAGGGGAGGATGGACACCCAGAAGATACAGGAACATATGGGAAATCCTGGGATTCGTGTGTGTATTTATCTGTGTGTCCCAGGGCCCCTTTAGTTCTCAATGTCCACGCGGCGGGCGCCAGAGGAGTAGGAGTAGGAGTAGTAGTAGTAGTAGTAGTAGTAGTAGTAGTAGTAGTAGTAGTAGTAGTAGTAGTAGTAGTAGTAGTAGTAGTAGGTAGTAGGTAGTAGGTATAGTAGTAAGTAGTAGTAGTAGAGTAGTAGTAGTAGTAAGTAGTAGTATAGTAGTTAGTAGTAGTAGTAGTAGTAGTAGTAGTAGTGTAGTAGGTAGTCGTTAGGTAGTAGGTAGTAAGGTCGTAGGTAGTAGGTAGGTAGTAGGTAGTAGGTAGTAGTAGTGTAGTAGTAGTAGTAGTAGTCAGTAGTAGTAGTAGTTAGTAGTAGTAGTAGTAGTAAGTAGTAGTAGTAGTAGTAGTTAGTATTAGTAGTAGTAGTATAGTCGTAGTAGTTAGTAGTTATAGTAGTAGTAGTAGATAGTAGTGGTAGTGGGAGTAGTAGTAGTTAGTAGTAAGTAGTATAGTAGTAGTAGTAGAGGAGTATTAGTAGGAGGAGGAGGAGGCGGAGGAGAGGAGGAGGAGGAGGAGGGCGAGGCGAAGGAGGCGCTGAGGAGGAGAGGAGACGAGGAGGAGGAGGACGAGGAGGAGGAGGAGGAGGAGGAGGAGGGGAGGAGGAGGAGGAGATGGGGAGGAGGAGGAGGAGAGGAGGGTGCGGAGGAGGAGGAGAAGGAGGAGGAGGAGGAGGGGGGGGAGGAGGGAGGAGGAGGGGGAGGGAGAGGAGGAGGAGGTAGGAGGAGGAGGAGGAGGAGGGGGAGGAGGAGGGGTGAGGAGGAGGCGTTCTCAATGTCCACGCGGCGGGCGCCAGAGGGCGGCGTGGGGCCGGGAGGCCTCTCCCTGGGCCCCTGCAGACGTCGCCGCGCGGCTCCAGCCCTGCGGCCCGCGAGGCGCGAGGCACGCCGCGCCGGGCCTGGCCGGCGGCGAGGCCGGGGCCCCTAGCAGGGTGTGCCTGCGGCGATGCGCAGGAGTGAGCTGTCGCCGGAGCGACCTTTGGTGCGGGCTCCTCCTCGCTCGTCCTAGCTCCTCCTCGCTCCTTCTCACTCCTCCTGGCTCCTCCTCGTTCCTAATCCTCGCTCCTCCTCCTCGCTCCTCCTCGCTCCTCCTCCTCCTCCTCCTCCTCCGCCTCCTTCTTTCTCCATCGATCAGGCCTCGACGCTTTCGCGGGAGTTGTGGACGACGAACACTGGGCAGGAAGCACGTTGCCAAACAATCCCCATATTATAAAACAAATGTCAATCATGTCAGAAACATGTAGAAAACAGGTTTGGAACATGCATAGAATACGTTTCAAGCATGTTAAACATGTTAATTTTCACGATTGGAGTGTCAGGGTGTCCATTGTCATGGCATCCACAACGCTGGAGTGACCTTTGGTGCGGGCTCACAGGGGGCCCCCTGACTCGACTGCACATGCCAGCCGAGCCACTCCGCGTCACCCCCTGGCTTGATGCTCGCGGAGGGACAGGGGACCAGGTCGCCGTGCCAAGACGAGAGCGAAGGCTAAGACACCCATCTCTATTTGCCTCGGAGCCTCAGCGCCAGCCCGCGCGCTTGGTGTGTGTGTGTGTGTGTGTGTGTGTGCGTGGAGTCCGCTTACATCTCCATTATATCCTCGCATACCGCAACTGTATCGGCTCAGGTATTGGCAAAATATTGACAGTGCGCTGCTCCCTGCGCAGTGCCCTGGAAAAGGAGTCCTACTCCTCGCCTCTACCTACGGACCCCGTATAGGAACGGCCCCCCGGCCGTCTCCCTATACACACGCTTGGATTCGGCTTTCCCACGGCGCCCTGAAACCGCGCACCAGAGGTCACTCCTGCCTAGGGTTACTCCTGCGTGTCGACGAAGGCCTGGCCAGGGTCGGCGGGGTGAAAAACGTCCACGTGCCATGGCATTCCCAGGGACACCCGGCGCCGTGACTCTCACAACCCAGACCTGTGGCGGCGCATTATTGAAATGTCGCAGCGCTGTTTCCTCGATTTCGGCCTCTGGGGCACTTCGGACGGGCCAGGACGAGGGTAAGACCGTGCCACGCCGCAGCGTGTCGGAACGCTCTCGGAGCGCTCCAGATCGTTCCGAGAAGGCCGCGACGCCCGATATGCATCTTCCAGAGCCGCCGGATCTCAGCGATTCTCGGCTTATCCTCTCCCGATTTGATCCTCATCCTGGCCTCAGCAGTTGATCGGGCCCCAGGACCATCGAACGCGGATCCGCGCAGGACGCAAACTTGCCGCCGGGGAAGGGGTCGGGACCTCTGGGCGCCGCGCACGGAGCGCGTCGCCTCGTCGGCTGCCTGGGATCCTGGACCCCCCCGGAGGCCTCGAGTCGTTCTGCGGCGGCCCCATGGGGGCCTTCGCTTGCATATCATGGGGGCCCTGTGTGCTTCGCAACTCTGCCTTTCGCGTCGACCAGCGTCGAGTAGCGTTTGGGAGTCGACGAACCAGCGCCGATTGAGCGTCGGTTGGCGTCGACATCCGCGTCGATCCCGTGCGACTCGAGTCGCTTTCGCGTCGACCCGCGCCAATTCGCAAGAGCCGAGAAGATGGTGTGGGAGGCTCCCGCGAGTTGCCGCCGAAGGGGCCGCAACGCCGCGCGTCGGCCGTGCCGCTCGGCGCGGGGAGGTCTGGGACGCGAGCATGCCAGAGAGCAGCCCGGCAGCCGCGGCGGCGGCAGCACGGGAGCGCATGCCGGTGGCCGAGGCCAGCAGCAGGGGAACAAAGGATGACATGAACATAAAGGCTCGAAGGTCCGCGCGGATTTCTCGGATCAGCGCTGGACCCCCTCCCTGGCGCGCGGAGCGCGCCATGGGCGGCGCCAGAGGCGCCGCCAGAGGGGGTCCAGCGCAGATCTGAGAAATCCGTGTGGATCTCCGATGTTTTAATGTTCGTGTCATTCTGAGTTCCCCCAAGCAGCAGCAGAGGCAGCAGCAGCAGGAGCAGCAGCAGCAGCAGCAGCAGCAGCGGCAGCGGCAGCGGCAGCGGCAGCGCCGGCGGCAACGCTCGCGGCAGCGGCCGTGGGGTACGCCAGCCGCGGCCGCAGCCGCCGTACACCCCGCTGAGGCTGGGCAGCCTGAAGGCCTTCTCGAGGGGTCCATGGGGGCTTGCCGCCCACTCCTCCTCCTCCTCCTCCTCCTCCTCCTCCTCCTCCTCCTCTTCCTCCTCCCCCCCCCCCTCCTCCCCCTCCTCCTCCCCCTCCTCCTCCCCCTCCACCTCCCCCTCCGCCTCCTCCTCCTCCTCCTCCTCCTCCAACCCCCCTCTCCTCCTTCTCCTCCTCCTCCTCCTCCTCCTCCTCCTCTTCCTCCTCGATATGTTCCTCCTCCCTGCTCCGCCTCCTCCTCCTCCTCCTCCTCCCTTTCCTCCTCCTCCTCCTCCTCCTCCTTCTCCTCCTCCCCCTCCTCTTCCTCCTCCTCCTCCTCCTCCTCGTCCTCCTCCCCCCCTCCTTTTCCTCCTCCTCCTCCTCCTGGGCGTTGTTGTCGTCGGAGCTGGGGGGAGGGACGGAGGGGAAGGCAGAAGGAGAAGAGAGAGGCGGCTGAGGCGGGAGCAAGAGGGAGCAGGGGCAGGAGCAGGAGTCGAGCATTAGCCAGGCCGAGCGGGTCAGAGGGCCCCACCCATTCCCGCATTCCCACCCTCCCTCTCCCCCCCACAGCATAAGAATCGAGTGTGGCACAGCTTGATGCTGTGTTTGATATGCGTACCCACCCTCGCAAACGGAAGGCGCTCGCGCGGCCCCCGCTGCCGCCGACTCGGCGAAGGGAAAACTGCGCGGGTCGCGCAGGGGCGGGGGTGGCGAGACATCCGATGGGCGCGGCGAAGACGAAGCATGTACCGCGCTGGTGATCGTTTTCTCATTCATTGTTTTGCCGATCGGCGCGAACCCTCGTGCACCTCCTCCCTTCCCCCCCCCATGGAGTAGATCTTGGCTGTTTTTGGCGCCTGTTTCGAGCAGGTGGGGTCTCCCTCACAGGACGCACTGCTGCAAACAGTCGCACGAAGCAGAGGTCTGAGGCCAGACCTCCCCTTCCCCTCCTTTCTGCCCAATGTCGAAACGCCGAATAAGAAAACCTTGGCCTGACACAGCACTGTCACTTTCACTCGAAAGCGCCGCGGCGCTTGCCCGCTATCGCTGTCGCTTCATCCGCTTTGGCGAACGAGCCATGCGCCGGGCCCGCGCGGGACGCCACCTCCGAGCGAGATGCGCACGGAGCTTGTGCGAGGTCGATCAATCGCCCATTCGCGCGGGCCACGCAAAATAGGCGAGTGGCAGTATGCGCCAAGCCGAGGCGGGAGCAACATTTTCAGGCGAAATCTGCGCGGCGCCGAGGCGAGACAGGCGTTTTCGTCCGCTCGCGCGTCGGCGAAGCTGCGTGCGAAAAATGTGCGCCTCGCCCCCAGAGGAGGAGGAGGAGGAGGAGGAGGAGGAGGAGGAGGAGGGGGACGAGGAGGAGGAGGAGGAGTAGGAGGAGGAGGACGAGGAGAAGGAGGGGACAGGAGGGAGGATGCGGAGCAGGGGGGGAGTGAGGATATGGGATAAGGAGGGATGCTTGATGATGGACGAGGGAGGGGGGACGAGGGAAGGTGAAGGAGGAAGAGGCGGAGGGAGGACGGAGGACGATAGGGTGTGTGTGTGGCATGAGGGATGAGTGAGGGAGGAGCGTCCTCGGCCCTCATCAGCTCTCCTCTTATTACTCCTCCTTCCCTCTCACCGCTGACCCATCCTCCCACTTGTCCTGCCTCCGTCCTTCTTTCGTCCCTCCCCCCTCCTATTCCCTTCTTCTCTTTGCTCGTTCGTTTTCTCCTTCTCCCACCCCCTTTCCCCCTGCTCCATCCTCGCCCTCCCTCTTCTGTTTTTTCCCCTCATCCACAGTGGGGGTCTTGTTTTCTCTGGACACCCCGCGCAGGAACCCACCATCATCATCATCATCATCACTCATTCCTCACTCACTCACTCACTCATCATCCCTCACACACTCACTCACTCACTCACTCACTCACTCACTCACTCACTCACTCACTCACTCACTCACTCACTCACTCATCAGCACTCACATATGATGATGATGCTGATGATGATGATGATGATGATGATGATGATGATGATGATGATGATGATGATCATGAGTGTGCGCGTGAGAGAGTGTGATGATCATCATCATCATCACCAGTCAGTCAGTCAGTCAGTCAGTCACTCACTCACTCACTCACTCACTCACTCACTCACTCGCCTTGGGCCTCGTCTGTGAGTGAATTGCGAGGAAGTCTCAAGCGGGAACCCCCTCCCTATGGGGCCCGCGGATCATGTTACTAATCCGAGCGGGTCATCCAATTCCTTCAACTGTCGCCAGTTTTGGGCTCTCGCGCTGCCAGAACGCCATTCCCAGGCCACATTTGTGAGTGAATTGCGAGGAAGTCTCAAGCGGGAGCCCCCTCCCTATGATGCCCGCGGATCATGTTATTAATCCGAGCGGGTCATCCAATTCCTGTAACTGTCGCCACTTTTGGGCTCTCGCGCTGCCAGAACGCCACTCCCAGGCCACATTTGTGAGTGAATTGCGAGGAAGTCTCAAGCGGGAACCCCCTTCCTATGGGGCCCGCGGATCATGTTACTAATCTGAGCGGGTCATCCAATTCTTGTAACTGTCGCCATTTCTGGGTTCTCGCGCTGCCAGAACGGCATTCCCAGGCTACATTTTGAATGCCCGGAGCCAACTGTAGGCCACTTCGTGTTTTTCGTGCTCCCAGAACACCATTCCCGGGCCACATTTTGAATGCCCGGAGTCCACTGTAGGCCACTTCGTGTTCTTCGTGTTCCGAGAACACTACTCCCGGGCCACTTTCTGAATGTCCAGAGCCAAACCAGGAGGGCGAGGATGGGGGCAACGTAGGGAGCGGGGGGAGGGCCCGCGCCAGGGCGAGAAGAAATATACGCACAAGAGACAGCCAGGACGCTTCACCAACCACGAGGACGACGGTGAGGGCTTTTTCCAGATTCGCCCAGAGGATTCTCATGTGGGGTCCTTCCGTCGGAGTAATTTTCTACTCCCCAAACAGCGCTTGCGGTACGAAAGGGTTGTTACCTGCGTTACCCATCTCGGGGTGATTGCCGTCCGTCGCCGCTCGTACCGCCCGTCGCCGCCCGTCGCCGTCGCCGCCCGTCGGTGTGATTGCCGCTCGTCGCCGCCCGTGCCGGCCGTCGCCGGCCGTCGCCGTCGCCCCGCGTCGGGGTGATCGCCGCTTGTCGCCGTTCGTGTTGCCCGTCGCCTCCCGTCGGCAACCGTGCCACCTGTCGTAGTAGTAGTAGTACGAGTAGGAGTAGGAGTAGCAGTAGTAGTAGTAGCAGTAGTAGTAGTAGTAGTAGTAGTAGTAGTAGTAGTAGAAGTAGTAGTAGTGGTAGTAGTAGTAGTAGTAGTAGTAGTAGTGGTAGTAGTAGTAGTAGTAGTAGTAGAAGTAGTAGTAGTAGTAGTAGTAGTAGTGGTAGTAGTAGTAGTAGTAGTAGTAGTAGTAGTAGTAGTAATCGTAATAGTAGTAGTAGTAGAAGCAGTAGTAGTAGTGGTAGTAGTCGTAGTAGTAGTAGTAGTAGTAGTAGTAGTCGTAGTCGTAGTCGTAGTCGTAGTCGTACTCGTAGTAGCAGCAGTAGTAGTACGAGTAGTAGTAGTGGTGGTGGTAGTTGCCGTGGTAGTAGTAGTAGTAGTAGTAGTAGTAGTAGTAGTAGTAGTAGTAGTAGTTGTAGTAGTTCGTAGTAGTGGTAGTAGTACGAGTAGTAGCACAAGTAGTAGTAGTAG